AAAAAAAAAATCAATAGACTAGGACAGTCAAAGTAGAAGACAAACCACCATGTAGAATGTAGAATGAGATTAAAACTCTACGCTAATATACTTATTCTGGCTGAACATTTTTAGATGCAGCATAGGGTATAACACAGAGAATGTAGATTTTGGAGTCGGGCAAACTTGTATTTCTCCACCATTTCCTCGTTGTATAATGTTGGACAAATCATTTGATTTCTGAGGTTTAACATCACATCCATAAAATTGAAGAACCATTGCTTTATTTGATTTATCCTCGCAGTCCCTGCAACTACTAATTAGGAGACACCATTAGAATGCGGATTGCAGGCAGTATGGTGTACTTACTGGGAATAATGGATACCAATGGGACACAGTTTTGTTATTTTATTGTCAGAAATACAGAACTGTTTCTGGAGCTACAGATGGAATTTAGAGATCTCCTGAGGTAGTTTTTCTGCTTATATTTCTTTTCCCTACGTGAGTCTATATCTGATAATTGTACATCCTTTCACTCAGAGTTAAAAAAAAAAAAAAAAAAAAAAAAAGTATAAAGAGGGACATTTAAAACCCCGAAAAAACAACTAGGCAAAAAGTAAAGTGGCATCCCTGATATTGATGGTGCTCTTAATGAGCCCTCAGGGTGTCCTTCTTGAATCTGGGAAACTTGGCAGTTGCAATGAACAAAACAATCACGGTAGATAGATGCTTGGGACCTCAATGGGCCTGCAGAAGGCTCAGTGTTCTGGCCACAAAGTTATAGCTCATTTGTACCCAGGCAAAGCACAGGGCAGGCTGGGGTTGGTAGGAGCTGCCATTCCAAGTATAATACAGGTAAAATCACAAATACTGTCCTAGACCATCTGTTTTTTTTTTTTTTTTTTTGAATTGCAAATGAACTCGTAAATTTATGAACATGCCAAAAGTTCAGGGGAACAGATTGTACATTGAATTAATTTCAATAGAAAGCACTGAGCTAGGGCCGGGCGCGGGGCTCAAGCCTGTAATCCCAGCACTTTGGGAAGGCCGAGACGGGCGGATCAACAAGGTCAAGAGAATCGAACCATCCTGGCTAACATGGGTGAAACCCCGTCTCTACTAAAAAATACAAAAAACTAGCCCGGGCGAGTGGCGGGCGCCTGTAGTCCCAGCTACTCCGGAGCTGAGCCAGGAGAATGGGGTAAACCC